CAGGAATAGAGCACTATGGTTGTATGCTTGATCTTCTTGGTCGCACTGGAAATCTTGACCAAGCTAAGTGTTTTATTGATGAATTGCCATTGACTTCGACTGCCAGAATATGGGGTTCTCTCCTTGCTGCAAGTAGGCACCACAGAAACATAGAGCTGGCTGAACTTGCAGCTTGTCATATTTCATCCTTGGAACATGATAATACTGGATGCTATGTCTTGCTTTCTAATATGTATGCCGAAGTTGGGAGATGGGAAGACATAGAACGGATTAAATTTCTTATGAGGAACCAAAGGTTAGAGAAAATCACTGGATGCAGCATACTGGAAACCAACAATAGGACTTACAGATTCACCAATCACGATAGGTCCCATGTCGATTCGAATGTGATATATGAGGTGTTAGACATTATTTTGAGGAAGATAGGGGAAGAACTATGTTCTTATGAAGTCTCCAAAACCAAACCACCAGATTTGGCAAGAAGAAGAGCAAACTCGACAAAGTACCACAGTGTGAGATTAGCAATTTGTTACGGGTTGATTTCCACATCCCTTGGAAACCCTATTCTTGTAAGGAAGAATACTAGAATCTGTGAGAAGTGCCATAGTGCTGCAAAGAAGATTTCAGAATTTACCAACAGAGAGATAGTAGTGGGAGATTCGAAGATATATCATCACTTCAGGGATGGGCATTGTTCATGTGGAGATTACTGGTGACTATAATTAATACACAATGATGAAAACCATCCAGGTGAGCATTTTCTTGATCCTCGTAAATATTCCTCAAAGGAGCAAGAAAATTTGTTCTCACTTTAATGTTATTATAAAATATATGTATATCTGTTTGAGGATGTAGACTATGAAAATACTAACTACGATTTTATAACATTTATTAATTTTTTAAAGAAAAAAATCATTTGTCATAAAAGCAAAAATATATTTGATCACCCTATGATAAAATAATCTATATAAACCTTAATATATAAATAGTAGATGTAATAGCAATGCAAATGCTAATATATATATAACAAACTTACAAAAAAATTAATTAATGATTTAGATGGGTTCCAGAAGTTTTCAACATCGTCTATTCTCGAATCTAATTCTCTTTTTTCTTAGTATGATATGCAAATGAGCGTTTAGTATACAACAATGTATAACATGTACCATACAAAAAATATTATATTAAAGTTTAATTGGATTAAAAAACCACAATTAAAAAATCCAAAAAACAAAAATAAATAAATAAATAAATCAGCTTCCTCCTCCATAGACAACCAATTTAGCTTTCTATTTACACATCACCACCAAATAATCAATAAGAAATAGTGGAAAATGGAAAATTAAAAGAGAATCTCTATATACAAATCAGAACTCTATCAACCAGTCAAAACAAAGCTTCAAAAAGCCGCTTTGTCTCATAACTCAAGAGTCAACTTCATCTACCACCACTACCATCTTCACTCTCTGTACCTCCATTACTAAACCACCCTTTAATTGTCGGCACTACGACGTCGTCAAAGAACTCTCCGAAGCACTCCAACAGCCGACAACACTTACTCTTCAACCTCACAGAAGAACTCCGATCATCGACCTCACGCGCCGTCATCATCGGCTGGAGATAAGCCCAAGCAGCATGCTGAACAAGTGGGTCTTTGATCGGAATTTCACGCCAGCTACCTTTTCGGCTGGTCGTCGCCTGCATCAAGCAGGGCAAGAGGTCTCTGAGGCTAGTATACACAACAGGCTGAACAGTGATCATCTCTGTTATTAATGCCGATGGATTCAGATGGTTTTAATTGAAAATCCAGATCATCCCAGACCGTAATTAACGTTGTTTCCATCTTGGGCTGGGGTTGAGGTTTAAATGACTGGAAGATTTGATTTTAGAAAGTTCCCTAATTAGGAAAATTTTCGAAATTGGGAAGTTGTGGTGGAGATTCAACTAAGATCGTTTGATAATAATAGAAGGTGCTAGACTGCTGTGTGTGGTTGTTACAAATAACTCTGGGAGGGGTATTTGATAAGAGTAGTGTTGGATTTAGATATGCCATGCTTTGGTAGGAAAATGAGATTTACTGTTTCAATTACCTATTTCTGTATCCACTCCAACAGCCAAATTGGTAATTGTAGGTTGGCAAATCTTAGACATCATTACTACAGTACTATGGTTGTCATCGTCACATCTCCAACTATTGCCTCTATGTTAGTTACGAGAACCGCCATCCAACATTACTCTTTCACTATGGTCGTCTCATATGTCGTGAAAAACATAGATGAAATTATATGTACCAATATAGAGAGAGATTTTTAATATAAATTTGAAGACATCTAGAATAATTTTTTAAGTATGAGCTCAGGCGCAGAAGTTAGACAAGACACGTAAAACTCAGAGGACCAGAGCTAGAGTTTCTCCTCAGAGGAGACAGTAGTGGAAATGACAAGAGAACAACTGGATGTTAACAGGAACCCTACAGGTGACAAAGAGTCATATTCAAAGTACAAAATTCTCAACTAACTAAAATATTCTCCAACAATCAAGGAAGAATTTATGGATGAAAGGCTAAGATCTCGACAGAGATTCCACAGAACAAAGAACAACTCTATAAATATTGTATAACACCTCCAACAACAAACAAGAATCCCTGGTTGCTTAAGAGGCAGATTGTAAATTTCATCTCCCATTATTGAAGTCAAAGAAGTAAGAGTCTCCATTAAAGAGTGGAATAGTAGAGTTTTCGAACTGGTAAATCACTACATTTTTATTGTGTAAATCACCTCAATCCCCTAGTAATCTTAAACACGATCCTCACAAGCCTTGTAGCTCAGATCCAAATTGTCAAGCATAATTCATACTCTCTGCTCATCCCACTAATTTACACCATCAAAATTAAAAATTTGCAACTTATTTTTGATTCCTTGAAGTACTAAACATTGAATCCGGTATTAATCTAGCTCCTCTTGGTCAACTGCAAAGAGATTGGATTTTATTGAACTTATTTATGCCCTTCAATTTCATCACACACCCCCAAATATGTCTTTGGGGACACAGAAAAACTAGTGGGAAAGGGGGAAGAGTAGTCTGAGAGGGGGAGATGGTTGGGAGGTGCAATGTTTTAGTTAAAATCCAGTGGAGTGAGGGTTTGGGTTCCATCCATTGGCAGGAGGGGATTTGGATTTTTATTGAATTTTTGTCTTATTTAAATTTGAAAGCGAGAAAAAAAAAAATTTTAATAATATAATTTAAACTTAATTTATTAATATAATTTAATAATCTCATTCATTATAATCAGATTATAGATCTCAACAGAACCACGTCAAGCTAATGACTATTAATTAATCAAACTCACACATTGACCTACCAAGTCACTGAGTTTACTAATTGCAATGGCCAAAGGGTGAAGTTGGTGAGTCGTGTACAATGACAATAACCATTCAGTGTTTGAAGAAGTATGATGCGAAAGGAAAAGCTTCGAAGTGGGCAAATTTTTGGCACTCCTTTTCTCTCTCCACTTTTAATCATAGAATCCTTCTGAAACTCCGACTTATCTGAACCCTTTCTCTCCCTTGAGGATTAAACTCTCTTTCTCTCTCTCTCTCTCTCATACATACACACACACACATTTCGGACATCTGGTGATCTGTGCATCAGACTTGCCTACTCTGCCACACCTAATCGAATCTCACCTGAAAGTTGACACGTGGTGGCCCGTAGTGACACTCCCACCAGCATTACAACTCCTGTCGAACTTCCTCATGGCTTCAATGGTAAGTATTTGAATTGTTCTATCCTATGTTTCATTGACTTTTGGTTTCACTGTACAAAAAATGCAGGATTGAGGTAAATTGTAAATCTATCTTATCTTTTTCAATTCTTTAGTGAGACTCATGTCGCAATGAATTGTCGTGATATGTACAGTTGATTTCTGCTCTTTGAGAGAGAGAGCAGAGAGCAATTCTATTGCTTAATATGTTCATAGGTAAAATTGGAACTGGTGTATACTTCATAATTTAACTGTTTCGTGAAGACCCGCATGCTTGAAATTTGTGATTTGACGAGACTTGAGTTTTTTTGTTTGTTTGTTTCTTTTTTGGAAATGTTTTTACTGTTTGGTATATGATGTGATATCCAGAGATAGATGACAAGAATGATCGACGGTCGTGATTGGTGGTAGAGACACAGTAAATTAACTTTGTGTCAAATAATTATAAACGATATTGTCACTTATGGTTTAAGGCCCGTGACATAAGCACAATAGAATGTGTGCAGTTTTACTATTTGGTATGTGAACCAAAGGCAATTTGATGTCGAAAAGGTCGGTATATGGATATTTCATGAATGTGCTATCCTCGATTCCTTAATGCTTGGCCTGTTAAGCTGTTGAGCTTGAAATTCAAGTGAGGTTGGTTTTAGCAATTGGTGGGCTTGGTTGAATGAGCTTGATAATAAGTCAAGTTTAAAGTGTGTGAGCATCTTGAGTGGTTTAACTAACATTTAGGAAAGGTGTTGTGTGCTAATAATTGAAAAGTCTTATTCATTAAACGATCTCAAAGGGATTGTTAAGAGAGAAATAGAAGCGAAAGAAGGGGAAAGAGAAGGTCGTAACTAGCTATAACTATTATTGCAAATGGGCAAGGTTGATCTGCAGTCTGCGTAGTTCCCAATTAACCAGCTAAGCAGCAACCCACGGTTTCATTGGTTTATTTGATCTGAATAATGAAACATAAAGATGTACTTTATAAGGGCAGATTTACCGTGTTCCTGGATGAGTAGAAGTTGAGTTCTTTTGTTTATCTGAATATTTTGTTCGAAAACCCCACCTTTTGAATTGGTATGTCAAAATCTTATTTTGTGTACAGAAACAGAGAGTTTCAACACCTAAGCAAACATTTGTTCAAATGCCGGCATATGATAATACTGAAAATTTGGGGTTGGGGGAAGCAGTCCCTCCCAGGTTAGAGAACTTCAAAAAGGTTTCGGTTATACCTCTTGTTTTCCTTGTCTTTTACGGGGTCTCTGGGGGGCCTTTTGGTGTGGAAGACAGTGTGCAGGCTGCTGGTCCTCTTTTAGCTCTTCTCGGGTTTCTGCTTTTTCCATTTATATGGAGTGTTCCTGAAGCCTTAATAACCGCAGAATTGGGTACTATGTTTCCTGAGAATGGGGGTTATGTGGTTTGGGTTTCTTCAGCTTTGGGTCCTTACTGGGGATTTCAGCAAGGTTGGATGAAATGGCTCAGTGGGGTAATAGATAATGCACTATACCCAATCCTGTTTCTGGACTATTTGAAGTTCTCTGTTCCATATTTAGCAGGTGGTTTCCCTAGGATGATAGCAGTGCTTGTTCTCACTCTAGCACTCACTTATATGAACTACAGGGGTTTGACCATAGTGGGATGGATCGCTGTAGTGCTAGGAGTGTTCTCCATCCTTCCTTTTGTTGTTATGGGATTTGTTGCAATTCCTAAACTGAAGCTTTCAAGATGGTTTGTTGTAGACTTGCGCAACGTGGATTGGGCTTTATACTTGAATTCTCTATTCTGGAATTTGAACTATTGGGACTCGATCAGTACTCTAGCAGGAGAAGTGGAAAATCCTGCTAGAACACTCCCCAGAGCTCTCTTCTATGCTCTGATTTTGGTTGTGCTGGGGTATTTTTTTCCTCTTCTGATTGGAACAGGAGCTATTCCACTTAATCGTGAACTGTGGAGTGATGGTTTTTTCGCAGATATAGCTAAACTTCTTGGAGGGCTATGGTTGCAATTGTGGGTTCTGGGGGCTTCTGCTTTGTCAAATATGGGCATGTTTGTGGCTGAGATGAGCAGTGACTCCTTTCAACTTCTGGGAATGGCAGAGCATGGGATGCTTCCCGAGTGTTTTGCCAAGAGGTCTCGTTACGGGACCCCTCTTACTGGGATTTTATTCTCTGCATCAGGCGTGGTTTTGCTCTCATGGCTGAGCTTTCAAGAGATTATAGCAGCAGAGAATTTTTTATACTGCTTTGGAATGATTATGGAGTTCATTGCCTTTGTGAAGTTAAGGATGAAATACCCTGCAGTATATCGGCCTTATAGGATACCAGTAGGTACAACTGGAGCAATATTAATGTGTATTCCTCCATCTCTATTGATTTTTGCGGTTTTGGCCCTTGCTTCCTTCAAAATCATGGCTCTTAGTCTCTTGGCTGTCATGGTTGGGTTTGTCATGCAGCCTTGTCTCAAATACAGTGAGAAAAAAAGGTGGCTTAGGTTTTCTGTTAGTTCTGACCTCCGAGATCTCCATCCTGATTGTCCCAAGGGTACTGAACCTTGAATTAAAGTTGAAAATGTAATTTTGTAGTAGTAGCCTTCCATCTTTTATATCTAACTCTACCTAGACCCCTCAGTGGCGGGAATCTCGTGCTTTTTTATCTCAAAATGTTTAATCCTAATATTTAATCACTTAGAAAAGTCAGAGTGCTTGGGCAAATAGGTATTTTCTCAGGTATCAATATGTAAGATATTTTTTTCTTCTTGTAGTTGTATGTATGGTGGTGAAACTATCAAAAAATTCAATTTTCCAGCATTGAATTTTATGCAATTTTTTATCTGCCCAAGTATTAATATTGTCTCTGATAAAAAAAAAAAGGTATTAATATTGTCAATATTGACCCCCCCTAGCTTCGAATTTCTAGTTTCGTCCCGGCATTTGTACTTGTGTGTGGATGTGTGAATTTCTAGTTCGAATTTTATGCAGACATGTTGTTATTTCTGTGAATTGGTGACCTTGATGGGCCTTAAAAGATGCTGATTCATTTTCTACTAGTGATTTATAGGCTTCTTTTCTCTATACTCCAGTGCCTTATGGCAATTTTCTCTAATCTTTATCTAGATCATATTTGCATCCCAACTCAACTTTTCACACTTACTACTGATAGTACATTATGCTACAGGTTCCCTCCTCCTTTCATATTTGTAATTCCTCGATCGTGTAGAAAGGCAATTATTACCCAAAGTGGAAATATTTATTTCTTCTAGAAAGCAATGCTTGACAAAACTTAATTTGCTCTATATTTATATGATTCGAGTTTGCCTGTGTTTTGTTTCTATATCTACTATGAACTACATATATTTAACAATGGCACTGCATTCATGGTTCTTATGCTTCACAGAAGTCATCAGGTAGGTTCTTTTTGTTTCGGTAGTCCTTTTGCTTTCTTCTTCTGGTTTATTATTGTTCTGCTTTTTCAAATTTCCCTCAAGACTGCTAACTAAAAAAGCTTATTAGGCAGTTAGGATGTACACTGCTGGACATGTATTTCAAAGCACATTTGAATTCTTATATATGACTCTTTTAGCTTTGTCTACAGAATATATAATTATACCTTTAGCTCCACACAGTAATGGAAGGATTTGAAGGCACCAACAGGAAATTCATAGTATGCAGTGTTAAAGATCTTATTGACAGAAAATTAAATACACATACAGTTGCTGAAAGTTCTTGTTCAGGGAACTTCTTGGTAGAAACCCTTATGGTGGAATTGCTTTATGGTTTTAGTTAAAATCGAGGTAGGCATGTGCTAGACAAACCTCGGTGCATTTTGTTGTGACTTATGCTGTGGAAGGGTACCTCGCTAGAACATTCTATGCCTGATTTCATTCCTTTGCACTATCGATCTGAACTAAGTATTCTTGGTGATGTAAACTATGGCTTGTTTATTTGTACATTATGATTTATGCAGATGAAAAAGATTGAGAATTGTGCGTGACAATGTTACAATTTTTCGGTTCCGACTTCTTTTCACAATGTGATGAAAGCAACCATACCACACAGTTTTTACTATTGGCTCCTAATCAGATTAAGGCTTAGTTTGAAATCCCTTTGTTGCCATTGCCTCTACAGTTGTGTTAGGATGACTGCCATCTAAGAGGCTCACAGAACAAAAATTCCTATGCAATCTCACGCAATTGCACCAAAGACAAAAGTTCATTTTTGACTTTAAACTCATCTTACCTGTCTTAGTTCTGAGACTGCTAGGCAAAGTCTATATCTTGGTGTCACGGATATTACAATAATCATTGCCTATGAAACATTGCCTATTCTTTTAGGAACCAACAAGGAAATAAGATAAAAAGAAACACGAATCTCTCTCTCTCTCTCTCTCTCTCTCTCTCTCTCTATCTCTCTCTCTCTCACACACACACACACACACACACACACTGAGGCATTTGGACATAGTATATCGTAAGAGATAACTAAGGAAATAAGAGAAGAAAAGAACAGAGGGAGACATGGGTACTCGTAGAAACAGCCTAAAAGCCTCACCAAAGAAAAAATCTCACACACTGCAGGACCTATTTGAACTTGATTCCAGGGCCAGCACTGGCAGTAACTTTCACAGCAGCAACAATATTGGCAGGCAATCATCTTTTGAATCCGAAAACGATGAACTACTTTCAACCATCTCTTACTGCTCCATCACCTATTCCTTCACTGATCCTCTGGAATCTCCTTCACAGCAAGATTTGAAGCAGCTCAAGCTCATCCAGCTCCTCTCCATCATAAAGTCTTTGAAAAAGCCGCTCCATGATCAAGTTCTATCTGCCCTTTTCTCCATGTTATCGGCCAACCTCTTCCGTCCACTTCCTCCCCAATGCAACATCATCTTTGTCTTCCCTGATGATGAGGATCTCACTGCTACACCTGTAGCTGCATGGCCACACTTGCAAATTGTCTACGATATCCTTCTCCAGCTAGTACTCAGCACAGATGCCAAGGCACTTCGAGATTACATTGATCAATCCTTCCTTCTCAATCTTCTGTCCTTTTTTCAGTCTGAAGATCAGAGGGAGCGTGAGACCTTGAAGAATGTCTACCACCGGATATATTTAAAGTTCACGTTCTACCGATCATCAATGCGAAAGGCAATGAATGATGTGTTCTTGCACTATGTTTTTGAGACAGATCAGAGACACTGTGGCATAGGAGAGCTACTTGAGATTTGGGGAAGCATCATTAATGGCTTCACTGTCCCACTCAAGGAAGAACACAAGCTTTTCTTGATGAGAGTTCTGGTTCCTCTGCATAAGCCAAAAGGTTTACAGGTTTACCATAGGCAGTTGGCCTATTGTGTTTCTCAGTTTGTGCAGAAGGAGCCTGTGCTTGGTGGGATTGCTATTAGAGGGATTCTGAAATATTGGCCTGTCACTAACTGTCAGAAGGAGGTTTTGCTTATAGGGGAGTTGGAGGAATTGGTGGAGAACGTAGATCCTGAGCAGCATAGGAAGTTAGCTCTGCCTTTATGTACCCAAATAACAAAGTGCTTGAACAGTTTCAACTCACAGGTACAATGAATACACATTTTCCTGTTTTGGTGGATTCATATTTTAATTTATTCAATTAAGGCGTTTCTATTCAACTAATTCCTGCCCATATATCTCTGTCACGACAGTAATTGTTTATTGGCTCTATCAAATTTTAAGATCCCCAAACTTCATTCTTGTTGCTCTGTGCAGCCTTTTCCTATGGCTTTTACATGTTAAATGTAGAGTCTGGTAAGTAGTAGCAAATATACATTAGTGGTCAATAACTTGAGAAGTAGTCGTGTTAAGGATCATGAAACTTGAAACTAAGTCCCATATATGAAAAAAATACTGTTAGAGTCTTTTGAAAATTGAACTCAATTAGGAAACTAGAGTTTTTTGGGTGGTATATATTGCAAATTCATGACAAAGTGAACGTTCTTTTGCAAGTTGGCAAAAGCTTTTCGAGAACTCTTTGCAATCTTGATAGTTAATAATAGATTTCTGTCTTCACTTGTGGACTTAGGCTTCCAAGCCAAACCAGTAAGTTCTTGCATTCAATTGTTCTTTTTTACTATTTCACTTTGTTGTTTCTTTATGAAGTCGTGAATACCAAGAATATATGCTGAATGCACTTGCTGTATGTGATGGAAGTCACGGCGCTCTTAGACAAGGTGAAGAATCATGACAGTGATCTCAAAACCCAATTAGGAGTAGACATTGCTATATTAAATTCTGTTGGTTCCTTTTTCCTTATAAAAAACTGTTATAGCTGATGGAGTTTGTGATAGTGCATGTTTGAATTATTGGATACGAGTCCTTTTCTTTGTAATTTTCATTGTGGGAGCCAACCCTTTTTGTCTTTGCCTCTGGACACAGTTTCTGAAACCAAAAACTCTTCTTTTTCTTGTATGTATCATTTATTTATGTTAATTTTATCTGACTTGGGTGGTGCATGTACACAACATAAGGGGTTCCATCAATTAATATTTATATTATGGTAACATTAAATCTTTGTGATTCTCTGAAATTAGGTAGCAGAGCGTGCACTCTATGTGTGGAACAACGAGCAGTTCGTGAAGATGGCATCAGCAGCGATGGAAGAGGTGTTTCCTGTGTTAGTCGAGGGAATGGAGAAGAACCTGAAATGGCATTGGAACCCAAGTGTTCGGCAATTGACAGAAAATGTTAAATTGATGCTGGAAGAAATGGAGCCCACTCTGTACTCAAAGTGCCTGCAAAAGCTTGAACGTCATGAGTCCACGACTCGCGAGGAAGAGATGAGGAGAAAGGAGAAGTGGGAAAGAATAGAAACTGCAGCAGTCAAGAACCAGTTCCTTCAACAACCACATTATATATGTGTTTCCAATTGAAGAACACAACTCAGATATGTGTGCTGGCTGGCAGTAGATACTCAATGCTATGTACTTGGCACTACTATAGGGAACATAGCAAGGCTCCTTGCTAATCTTTATGCTAGAAATACAACTATATTCATGTGAAATCAGTTGGGTCTTGGGGTACCACACCCCTAAATTTTCATTCTATGTAGAACATTAATGTTGGCGAGTCTATTATTAGTGAATGAGTGTAATAATATACTACTTGGACTTCCAATTGTTGTGGTCTTAACCAATCCACACAGGCGTTGATGATACAAACAAAAAATAAGGGAGTGTAATTCAATTTTTATGTGTATTGTTTACTATACAAAATAATTATAATATTTCATAATCCAAGAGAAGATATTTACAATTAATTGCAGTCAAATTATGATTCAAAAAAAAGTAAATGTCATCTTATTATGATCAAGTAATAATTTTTTTAAAAAGGAAATTTTATTTACCCTATAAATAAACTTAATTTCAATAGCAATCTTTCCCAATATATAAAAAAATATAAAGTTTACGGATAAAGTGATAACATGAGCATTTTCATCAAGTCCGTTAACAAAAGATGTTAGTTACGACCGATATATTTAAAAAATATATAGTTTTACGAGTAAACTAATAACATGAGCATTTTTATCATGTCCGTTAACAAAAGATGTTACTTAAAATCGAAAGGAAGTGTTGTTAAAATTGAACTTATCCATAAGAGATGTGCATCAATTTTACCCTTCAAAAAAATTTAGAATGAATCCGAAAATAAATTGGGTGCAACTGTAAAGTCATGATCTTACACATTAATAAATTGAACGAAAACTTTAAGTGATAACAAGAATGTTAGAGATAATGACAATGAATCAAGCAAAGACTTAAAGTGACAATAAAAAAGTTAGAGATAATGACAAAAATCAAAACAAGACAATGAGAGTGGAAAAGAGAGAAAAAGTTGAAGAGACGATGAGAGTGAAGGAAAAAATAGTGAAAATAATTGTAACTTTTAAAACTAGAAATCATTATTTTTGATGAAGCACAAAAATAGATTTATGTACTACTTGTTGAATAATTAATATAGGCAATAAATGTAATAAATATAAAGGTGAGATCAACACAGACAACACACAAATATAGAGTAGTTCAGTTAAAATTACCTACTCCACTTTGAATGCGACAATAGTGGTCGAAAGACTGTATGAATAAAGTAGCAGATGGGAGAGAAATGAAGTCAAAGTAGGTGAGGTGGGGGTATCTATGTGTGAGATGTAGAAGTCTCTTCTTCATGTGTAAAGGTTTTACAATTTATAGGTATAGAACTTTAGTTGAGGCGGTGGCGTGAAAGAATAGGTGACTAGTCTTTCGGGAGAATAGCTACAGTTAAGAATAAGTAAAATTAAAAATAATCTTGATGTTCGAATAGTGGTTATCCCGATGTTTACTCTCCACGTGCGCTGATCCTCTTAGGTGTTTTAGACTTCTGGACTAAGCTGAGCTTGACCCTGCCTTTTGATGATTTGGGCACAATCTATGAATTGGGTCTAGGCCTAGTTTAAATCTAGACTTGTCAATTTTTATATTTTTTTAGAAAGATTTATTATATTTTAAGATTTTCTATAATTTTTACGTAGACTTGTGAAATTGTTGTATTTTAGATCTTTTTATAAGACTTTAAATGGACTTGTAAAATATATTGGACTTTTAACTTTGTCCATTCAAAAGGGTGTCATAACATGAAATTGAACTAAAATTAAATTAGAGCCATAAATTTTTGGGGCTCTAGACGATTATTTTAATGAATGAGTCTTAAGCTGGCCTTGTTGTGATTCCTTTCATCTAAAGGATCGAAGTGTTTGTAGATCTCACAACGATTGTAATCTCTACTCATCTCTCACTCTCGAGTCTTTGTTCATAGAACTGATTAAATAAAACAAATTGATTATCGAATGACACACAATAATTAAATGTAATATATATGTTATTTTATATTTTATGCATTTTTTTAATTTTATCAAATTATGTGTTGACCGTATTAAAGTATTTTCATAGTAAAGATATTTAATGTTACAATATGGTGTCATATGATATTTTTTTTTATATAATTTAAGCATCTAAAATATATTAAATATTACATATTTGTTATTTAATACATGTTATCTACGAATAACTGTTCAATAGTATAATTCATAAGAATTATAAATATATATAGATTATCATGATTAAGTACACATATTTTAGCAAACAAATTTGTATATCTGTTTATCTTTCTTATCTCCTACTTGACCCGCACTTTTGGGGCACAATATATTGTTTCATTATTGTTTTTATGTGTTTTTTATTTATTTTGTATGTTATTCATAAAAATTGTAATATTATATGATCGACTAACAGCATACATTTATAATTCATTGTCATTGAATTATTTTACTATTTTTTTATGATCCTTAATTTGTTTATGTATACAACGTTCACCTATTATTTTATTATATTTTATTTTCCCCGTTAATAACTTTATTGAATTTTTTTATATTAATTACTTTTTATTGTGAGTCCTCTATGAAAATAAACAATTCAATTAGTTGGTATTTTTATATTGAAATGGGAACAAAATCAAATTTGGAAAAAATAGAAAATGTGTTTGAGTTATTTTTATATATAGAAGATAGATGTTTATTATATTTTTTTATCCAAGTGTTAACCCTTTTTTGTCATTTAAAATGTATATGTGTGAGGTGGATAACACTTTTGAACTTAAATTTTAAATTTTATTTTATTAACTTAATTTTTCAAGTAAAGGTGTTCAAAATTTTTCATACCTGATCAATTTCGACCCTATCCAACCTAATTGATCGGCTTTCATAAAAATCAGCTGGCTAATGAAAGGATAGGAATGAGAAATAATCATAAATTTTTTCCATTTCAACCTCACCCTACTCAACCCACATGTATAATTTTTTTTAAAAAAATATATACATGTTAATGCGTGCACAAAAAGCATAAAATTTCTAGCGCATCCTCCTCTTCGAGTCTCAAGATTCTCGCCTCTTTCTTCTCCTTCTTCTTCTCAGTCGATTGATCCCTAGCGCCTCCTCCTCTTCGAGTCTCAGAGACTTTCGCCTCTCTCGCCGCTTTCTATTCAAAGCCACACGCATCCCAGGTTCTCTATTTATCTCTCTCTCTCTCTCTCCTTCTGTATGACAGTCTCTGTGTCCTTTTGTTTTTCTGAAATTGAAATCATATGATGAGAGTTTCAGGAGTTTTGTTGTTAAGCTAAATTATAATGAGTTTAATCGTTGATTTATAACTCTATAATTTGGGGCTTTTTAATATGTAGGGCTTAAAGCCAATGCTTTTTTGAATTTACTGTTGAGCTGGCCATCCAGTTTACTAAAGTGTCTCTGTGGCCTGAGTTGTGCTTTGAATGACATAGAAGTCTCAACAAATGGTCAATTGTTTTTTTCTTCTTATTGAGTTACTATGGAGCCTCTCTTTGAAGTGAAGTAATCAGCTTACTTCTTGTTGTCAATAGATTTGCAAACCAACTTTGGCATGAGATGGCAATCATATCTGCTTTAGTGGCGGAATGTCCAGGTTCTATCCCCCCCCCCCCCCCCCTCTGTATGTATTTGCCTGATTACTTATGTGATCCTTATCTCAGGCAGACTTGCTTAACCTTATTTTGTCCGGTTTTCTGTAGGCATACTTCATCCTAAACTATCATACAAGACTAGAAGATATGGTGGGAACAGATTTAAAGATTACAATGCCATTCGATTGATATCAAGAAAGGTTCCTTCTAATAATCAATTTGTGCAGTGTAGTTACACGTACTTTGTACACGAATTAGAAATTGTGTTTATTGCTTGCAGATTCCTAATACAAGGATTTGCCACGCTCTTGGAGAGGGTTTTGGCACCAAATATACTGCATCTGTTGAAAGAAATCATCATCAGTTGAGCTTTGATAATGACTTCACTGAGGAGCCTTTTTGGTTAAGCCAGATGAAGGAAGCTTTCAGGTATTATACTCACAGCCCCATCCCCCAAAAAACACACCCCCAAATAAGAAAAAAAATGCAAATGTGTTTGGATTAAAATTGACACCTTCTTTGGTAGAACAGGAGAATATTATGATCCACCTTGTTAATATCAGTATAGAACCAAAAGAGGCAGCATTCTCATTAAATGACCGAGTGTATCATTTTTTAGGGCTTTGAAATCTTTATTAGGATTTCTAGCGGAGCAGCCCAGTCAACTGAAGTACATAGAGTGGCCAACCTTCCAGAGCACGGTTAGTCTCATTAAATTTTGGTTATACATACCAAGGAAGTTTATTTTTTGTTCTTGGTTTTTGATTTACTTCTGTTTTGTTCAATTACGTTGTAGAAAGTAAGCATTGCATATCAGATTTGAGTTGATCTGATCTTTATTTAGAATCTATTTTAGTTGGAGTTGTTATTGCTTTGCATTTTATGTTCATGGTTCATGCTCTGTTAACTGCTTGCCTGCTGTTTTTGTTGTGACGATTAGCTCTCTCTCACTTAGAATCACTTGAAAGCTTTTCAGTTGTGCACCCTGTGACCAAGCTGACTCTTGCCACTTGATGTATGCTCATGATAAGTTTGATGGAGATTTGCGAAACTGCAAATCTTTGAATGTTAGTGAAAATACTTATTTTGATATTCTAGCTAAAAGTTACATTGATGGGTTAGTTTCAAAATCAATTTAGACATTAAACTGACATTGCTCTCTCCCTTTCTCTCTCCAGCTGAAGACTGCTAGTCTGACGCTTGTGCTTGTGGGTGTGTTAATTATTGCACTATCCTCAGTTGACTCGGCGCTTTGTTATCTATTGGCTTTGCTTTCAAGGAGGACTGCATGATTAAATGATGCTTTAGAAATGAGTTGTTTATAATGCGTGGTCCAGCAGCCCAAAGCTAGTAGATGGTGTTCACATCATGTTTCCTCGTGCAGAATGATAAGAATGAAGCAGAGTCCCCGAGCAAGAAAGCTATTGGATTTACTTATTAGCACATAGCATAGGTATCAAAGTGATGGGAGCATCACTGCTAGTAGCGTTTGATAGTCCAATGCTCAATAAAAATTGCTGCTCGTGTTTGTACCAGGTGTACTCAGTTGAGAGGTATGTCGAATCAATTCTGGAATTTTTGGAAGTGCTCAATCCAATCTCCCTTTTGGTTGTGAACTAATTGTAAAGCTTGATTAGCTAAGAGTGAGCACTGCCTAACACAAGCATTCATACACAAGCCCTAAGGCCCGACCATAGTCGCCTAGAGCTCAAAAAAATTTAAAACCTCAATGTAACTTTGGGATTTTTGCACCGTTCATCAATTTTTAACAAAATTTTAGATAAATATTAGTCCGAAGGTCACATTGGAACTAATTTATGACATTAAGGTGCAAAGTGGAAAAAATAATCTTTTGGGGGTGTAAAGTGAGAATTGAGAAAACTTTTGAGTACAAAAATTCTAGTGCTTTTGATTCTTAAAGTGTGTGTTTTTGGTTAGTTTAGTCTTTAGTGTATCAATTTTGTTCATAAAATATTCAATTTGTGTTATTTTGATTCCTAATCAGATAATCCTTCAAGTTTTTTTATAGAAGTGATCACGTGTCATTTTTTTAGACGATGTCACATGATTATTTTGTCAAAAATTTAACGGTTTGTTTATATAGGGATTAAAATTATACAAATTAAATATTTTAGGGATTAAATTGATACAATGAGGATTAAACTAATAAAAAATATATATTTTAAGGACAAAAAGTACTATTAAACCTTCCTTTAATTTTCAACCTTTAGTTTAGTTTCATGTTCTGAGGGATTTTTGAATTGGCTTAAATCAAAAAATACAATGTATTTCACAAGTCAATGTAAAATTTAAAGAAAGTCCTAAAATTTAATAACAGTTTTACAATCTATTTAAATTTTTTTAGAAAATCTTAAAATATAACAAAATTTTTTAAAAAACCTAAAAATAACGACTTTTAACATTAAAAGTAACAATCTCTCTCGATTATGATTTTTTTTTTTTTTTACGTTCTCTCATTAATTATTATATTTTGTTTATATTACATCCTCAGTAATGTAATTAATTGAACATTATCCTAATTCTTAATATTCTTTATAAATCTGATGAAATTTTGTTTCATTTCCTCCTTTACCTATATGATTCTGTGTCACTTTGTCCATACATGTTAATAATTTTCGTCCAAAAAAATAGTAAACATTTGTGTTTGCAATAATGTAAAATAATTTAATTAGCTAAGTGGTTAATGTGAAAATTTTAATAGATCAAGAGATGAAGTAAAATAATTAAGGGTGCCCAAGTATAATTTAGTTTATAAACAATGTATAGTTCTTTGAATGAACGAAGCAATTTTTTTTTTTTTTAACAGGTGTGTTTAGACCAATTTACACGTACTTCGATAATTTTATTTTCAATCCGATCAAAGGTAGATCATCTACATTAGGATTAGAATTTTTACGAGAAATAAATTTCTCATGACATAGCCCTAAAAATTTATAAAAATTCAAACTCAAAACATCTATATTTATAGAAAAAAAAAATAACTTTTAAGGACGCGTTCGTTTAATATGTTAGTGGTCTAGTACAAATCAACCTTCATTTATTTATTAGTGAATTACCCTTAAGATATCCACACCTAAATCATGATTTTTTTTAATTTTCTTTATTTATTAGAGATTTTTTTTTTTGAATTTTGAAATAGCAACATTTCTTCTAAAAACCACTTATCATTCGTATCGTATTTGAACAATGTTACATGGACTTAAAAATATTAATAAAATGTAGGCTTTATGACGAGGCAAAGAAGAATGATCTCCATTCCTTTAACAAGCATACACAATGATGTAAGCATCCCCAAGAATAGGTCACAAAATGTTTAATAAACATATTTCAATTTGCAGTGCAAGTTCATTCACAAAACAATATGGTTGCCCCTGATTTCTTGGATAATATCCAACTACTTTAGAACAATTGCTGCATTTCTCAGAGCCAGGTACCTCTGAACATACTCATTCGGAAGTGATCTTATCAGCTTGAAGACATCAGCATTCGCGAAACGCATATTGGTCCTTGGATCAAAGTAAGGTGCCTGCATGTGAAAACAAAAAAATTTGATGGAAGCTTTAGAAAAACCACAAGAAAAATGTATCATCCAAATTTAATAAGCAACGTACAACAAAAATGTATCATCCTCAACTGGGCAAGCTTCAGCTGAAGCATAATTTATATTTCTGAATCGTACAAATTTAAGCAACGTGATTGATGTTGTCTGCAAGAGCTCCTCAGCAGTAGGATGCCCAAAGCCTCAAGGGTATCCCTTACTCGTGCATTAGGTGGTTTTGTTATTCTAATTCTAGATGATACTTTCTACAAACTAAGTCATATTCGCTCCCTTAACTTTGATCCAAAAATGAAGACCATTCATCAAGTAGCTTCATAAATGCTATAGCACACCAGTCATAATGAAGAACTTACAATTTTTTTCTTATAACTCTCATCTTAGGTTACGTAGCTCAAAGAAGTTTGGTTTAGTTGGACCATTTAGGTACTTCAGTCAATCCTGTTAAATAGGCTAAATTAGGGTAGTGAACCACATTAAAGCTTAGTCAAGCACAAAAGCTATCCATGAGAATTGGATGACGAGTTATGCTGAACATGATTTGAACTATATTGACAACCAACCAAATTTGAACAGTCCATTAATCTTCTCAACTTATTGTGATCCTACTTCTAATTAGTGGATACGAAAGCATGCAGAAACGATAGGCTTTTTCCGGTGCTATTTAAAACCATGTGATAGGATTGTCATAGTTGACATCTAGCGCTTGTCAGTGATGCCATAGAAGCTCCACAAGTGGAAATTTGAAAGCAACTGCGATAATCAACAATGTCAAAGAGCTATATACCTCATATCCTGTTATATCACAAATTCTTTTGCATGGATGCATAGAGGGTGGTGTCTCAATATTAACATCTGCAAAACAATATCAAAGGTGGGGAAATTTGATCAAATAGAGAGCTAGACATTAAGCTCTCAAATGAATCGAGACACAAAAGGCTCAACGTGGAATATAATATGTCGGTGTAAGCTAGACAAAGGCTATTTAGCAAACCACAATACGTTAATGATGAATTGACACCCATAATGCTTTATTTTTGGCAGCTGCAAAATCATGGTATTGCTTCCATAATGGACAGACTAAACCCCAAACACATACATAGATGCCACTGATGCAATTACAATCCACCAATTTGTCCTGCAATTTAATACCTTACAAATTGCTCCACAAAGCAGGGTTAATGATCATGGATATTTATTGGAAATTTTTGTAGGCTAATCCACTAAGTTATAAGACTTCTCTATCAGACATACACGATCAATAATATGATCTCATTCATCAATTTCACAGTGAATAAAGCAAAGAAAGGATGGAAATTTATATAAATATCGTTCTCAAAATTCAGACCCTGAATTGACTCCACCAAAATTTCATATTTAGCAATTAATTATGCAAAAATATACCACAAGCATCATCTAATATCCACATACATATAATATGATTCCTAACATGAGCTTTATGGAAAACACAATGTTAGTAATTCGAAGTCTCACAGTTGGGTTCTTCAGGGGGGTAGTTGTGGTAATTTTCGGCTTGGATGATCTGCTTGAGATGTTTCCAGTACCTGCCTCTGGCTTGGCCCTTTGGGTACTTGTCATACATCTGAATCTTCTTATAGCTCAAGTGGTTCG